GAACGGGATAATCGGCGCGGTGGCTGAATCGGGATAACACATAACACGATTATCATACAATTTGACGGTTTTGAAATGCAGTCAAATCGTTTTTTTCAAAAACGGACATTCGTTTACAACCATTCTAATATTACGATGACGGATCGTACGAACATTCTATTTGAATGGAAAACATACATAGTTTGTTGTCGTTTAGGGTCGTCCTACATCCGAGGGAAAACGTTTCCCGATAATTTTTTGATACCAATGTTATGCTCATTACATTGATGTTGCGGGCAACTGTTTGACAGATAAGTCTGGGGTGGACATATAAATTTTAATGCATTGGTCAAATAGAAATAGTCAGTTATGAATAGTTAGGTAATTTACTTCGATAATTAAGACTAAAAAACAAAAAAAAAAAAAATGTCGCTTTAAATGTGAGATATTAAAATTGTTTTTCGGTAACGGTTTTGATTAAGAATACCAGTATCAGTCCTTTTCGATTTCAACTTTATCCGACATAAAATTATAATATTAAACATTTTTCATAATTCAAACAATAATGTTAATTTTTTCGTATAATAACATAACCAAAATTACTATTTTCACAAATTTTTACAGTGTTGTAGGGGAGCCGAGAGGAACATTCTACAATTCTCTAGTTTTTATTGACCACCATCATATATCTCTGAAATATTACACGGTCGAAAATAATTGCATACTTTCCGTTATCGTTAATATATACCGGGCCAATCATTTCATTTACAAATTAGTTATTAATTAGGTTTTTTTCAGTTATAATTTTAATTTTAAATTCCAGTATTACCATATTTTTCGTTTTCGTTTGTATAGATACTGGTTTTAATCAGTATTTAGTACCGGGTTCAATATCGTTGTGGCACCCTGATTTATTTATACGTAGAGAATTTGAATACATATGAATGTATGAAAACTACTCCATAATTTATTATTATAAGGACCCCATCCTTGATACGTGCCTTTCTGTGAATAATTTTAAATACATAGTTATTACGTTGTCCACTTAGAATTGTATAACGTATTTTCTACACGACGTTTCGTCCACTACATCAACAACTTAGTCGTTAGAATTAACTGTAATATTATAGAAAGTTATCTTTACACACAAACTCTGTCACCCCTTTCAAGTCTCAATGGTTAAATTTTCAAAATCGATCAAATTCGATAATTGTATTATTTACTCAACGTTATAGGTATTAAATTCACTTATGCTTTATTATTTTCTTAAGTCATTCGAACTCAATTTATTTTTTTATTTTTTCAATAATGTCATCTGTTTAAGGAATTGTTAATATAGGTAACTGTTTGAAAATCGAATAAGGGTAATGGATCACAACAAAAAAAGGGTTTGAGTGAGGTTAATTTAGCAATTCTAAAATATAATATGATTCCAAAAGTAAATATTTATTTTTTGAAAAAACAGTATTTTAAAGTTGTATGTTAATTTTTGTAATGTTATATCGGGAAGTTAATTGTAAATAATTTTAGTTGAACTCATACAGGTTACAACCCCTGCATGTAGTAATTTATGTGTGAAACTTCGCTATAATTTGAAAGATTTCTACAAGATTTATGATTATAATTTTCAATCAACTCCCAAGATTTTTGAACTCGTTTAACTTTTTTTTAACTTCCATAACTCAGAAGTCAATTATTGTAAACACATAAAACGGTTGAAAAATAATATAATTATTCGTAATATCGCATTCATGATATTAAGATTAATGATAACGGTTTTACTAAGCATAATGTACTTACCGGAAACTGCTAAAAAATAATGTATTTTCAACGGTAGAAGCTTCCAATTCAATTGGAAAAAATTCGTTTTTACATTCAGCGAGTTCACCATTTTTATTATAATTTATACAAACATATATTTATGTATATATATATTTTTTGTAATGTTATATTTCCACTATTACCAGTACCGCGTTTTATTTATTGAATGAAAAATGTAAATGTTAAAATTATGAAATAAACTATTTTATTTAAAACATAAATGTTTTATGATCCTATTTGCATTTGCTGAATAACAAAATATAGAAGTAAAAAAAAATGTTTTTATGAACACCACACATCGGACTGAAATTAATATATAGTTTACATAAAATCTTAACTATGAATTACCTTTTATAAAACTGTACATTTATGGAATAGGTATTATCTTTATATAACTTATCCATACACGCCCATTCGTTGGTTAACTTGAAATATTTGTTACATTCTATTTTTAATCCCAGATAAAGACATAAATTAAATATTATACATAATTATAATGCTATTATTTGTATTCGCACACGTTAATTTCGTGACAAACTGCACATGGAGTGGCATAATCAAAATTACATATTGAAAAATACTAAACAAAAAAAAAATATTTAACAAACAAACCCAAAATTACACGTTTTTTTTTTTTTTTTTTTTTTTTTTATTATATTTAAAAATATATTATACTTATTTATTTAATAAAATATAAAAAGAGCACTATGCACGATATTGAAAAGTGTATAATCCATAATAAAGTGAAATACACGTAAAACGGTTATGTATAACAAAAAGAAAAGCACTGGCACCGTGTCACCCCGTCCACCCAATAGAAATGCCACTGGTCTCATGCATGCATGATATCCACGTTCTCAACTACTCAACTGTACTGTGCTACAACGGTCGTTCTAAGAGCCCGTCCTCGCCACCGTGGTGGTCGCCAGTGGTTACGAACGTTCGTCGTCGACACTTCGTTACCGTGTGCGCCCAAACCGCCAGTGTGTACGATCGTTGGGTGACCTGTGATCGACTAGTGCTGCCATCCCGATGACCTACGGGAACCGGCAACAACTCCAGTAAGATCGGACGCAGCCGTGCGGCGTTAACGGCTATTTAGTCATTTAAAAAAAAATTGTATTTTTTTTTTTTATGTTCTACATATTTACTCAATGTTTTCAGAGTCTTTTAGCACCCCTCTCCACTATTCCCCATTGAGTTGAGAAATGTATGGGTTTTAATTCGAATTTTATAATACGGTCCACTGATTACCGATCAAATCCCGAGTGTCCTCGACAATACATTACTCGTTTCCTATCGTAGTCGCAGACGGGAAACTTCCTTAGAGCTGTTGCCCGAGAGAATTCTTCGTGAAAAGATATTAATTCATCAATTCATGTGCCCCAAAAAATAAGGGCGACAAATAATAATAGCGTTGTAACATTTAAGTACCACTTGTTTCTTAAATTAAAAAAAAAAAACAGAGAAACAATACTATAGATGGGATGTCGAGAAGTGAGATACATAAAGTTAATAATTTATGACTTTAAGTAGCGATAAACCATTTCTAAATATAAAAATTCGTAGCGAAAATTGGGTATACACGTTTTGATAGGCCATAATATTTATGATATTCGTTAAAATTTAATATTAAAACCTATACATATTTTTAAAATTTTACCAAGTGTACATAAGCAAATACAAGTTTTCTGTAAAAAATAAAGGTCTCTATGAATATTTTTAACTGGCTTACAATAAAAAAACAAAATTAAAAATAAAAGTATTTTATATTTTTGTAAATTTTTCTAAAAAAATAAAGAAAAACGGTAAAATCTAAGAAATGTATTGGTAAAAATAATATTATGGTCTTTTTTCCCGTGAATAACTTTTCTACCGGCAATTTTGTTCCGATTTACATTATAGAACTTTTTCTGAAAGTAAATCTAACAAGGAAAGTACTTTTGAGGGGTCATTTTTTGATTTGTCCAAGAGTTTTTCTAATAAATAGGAAATACCGTAAGAAAAACGGGAAAACAGTACAATATGAAACGAAACTTTTTTATGAAAATATATAATACATAATATTATACATTATGCATTAATTAAATTGTATGTTATTATTTTACCATAATTTGACATAATATATATTGCGGTTGACAAAGCGGACACTATCAACTGAACTTCGCTCAGAATCGTTTTTTGTTTACATCGGTTTATCGTTGCTTACAGATATACATTACATTTTACCTCTGGATACTACCTTCCAAACTTCTCACTTATAACGGTGTCTGCACCCGACCTCATTATCGTAGGTCAGTTTTTTTTTTATTGGAATTAAACTTCTATTAGAAAACATAAACCGTACAAATTAAAAATAATGTAACCCAAACGCCGTAAATATTTGCCATTTAACCTATAATTTATTTCCCGATTTTCTAGATTAAAATTGTAATGGGCTCAACGTAGGAATAAGACTGAGGAAAAAAAATGTTTGAAATAAATTAAACTCTAATTCAATTTTGTAAGTTATTAATATTTTCACATAAAAATGCTACAAGTCCAATTAAATTAAATTCTCAAAAATATTACATGTCCAAAAATAATTCATAAAACATTGTCGCGAATCCGCTCGCATTTGACCGTGGTGGACTCGTTTGGTTAGACTCTAACCAAACGAGTTTTATTTTAAATTTTATTAGGGGGTCGCCAATTATTTTACACCAAATAAAAAAGTTATATACTATTTATATTATTTTATAGTTTCATACAAAGTAAAATTATTTTGTACCGTTATGCCTGTGTCAATCGAAATATGTTATCGTAATATTAATGTTGCGATAACAAGTTCTTTTGAATCACGCAGTGTACGGGTTATTTTTAAATTTAATTTAATCAGTAATTTAATTTAATCTCATGGTGATTATGAAATAGTCCGATAGTCATGTACGAGCCGTTGAGTTAATCCTTATATTTATGGTTATAATTTTGTATAGTTTGTATTTTGTATTATTTTAATCTAATATTTTTAATATTTTATAATATATAAACTAAAACATCGATATGAATAAATTTTTAATTAAACGACCGATGAATAGTGAATAGTTAATAAAAAGGACCGTAAATACCAAGACAGTTACATCAAGTTTGGATTCACTTTCGATGTTGAAAAATGTGAGCCAAAATGTGTTATTTGTTTAGAAAGATTAGCTTCAGAAAGTATGAAGCCATCAAAGCTAAAACGACATTTAGTAACTAAACATCCCCAATTCCAACATAAAGAGGAAGACTTTTTTAAAAGGTATGAAAATTCGATAAAAGTTCAAAAAAATACTATGCGTAATTTTACTTCAGTACCTATAAAAGCTCTAGCTGCGTCATTAGAGGCTTCATATTTAATTGCAAAAACCAAAAAATCACACTCTATTGGTGAATCTCTCGTTTTGCTAGCCGCTATAAAAATAGTATCAATTATGCATGGCGAATCATATGCAAATGAATTAAAAACAATTCCCTTATCAAGAGATACTGTATCACGTCGAATTGAAAATATGTCCGATAATATAAAATCACAACTCCTAAATAGATTACGAGGAAATTATTTTGCAATGCAATTAGATGAATCTACGGATATAACTAATCTTGCTCAACTTCTTGTAGATGTTGATCTTGTATGTTAGATATATTNTGCAAAAACCAAAAAACCACACTCTATTGGTGAATCTCTCATTTTGCCAGCCGCTTTAAAAATAGTATCAATTATGCATGGCAAATCATATGCAAATGAATTCACGTCGCATGCAATGTCACGTCGAATTGAAAATATGTCCGATAATGTAAAATCACAACTCCTAAATAGATTACGAGGAAATTATTTTGCAGTGCAATTAGATGAATTTTGCAGATATAACTAATCTTGCTCAACTTCTTGTATATGTTAGATATATTTATAAAAATAAAATTGAAGAAGACTTTTTATTTTGTCAACCATTAGAAGGACGTACAACTGGAAATGATATTTTTGTTCTTATAAACAATTTTTTAGAAATTAATGAAATTCCCTGGTCAATGTGTGTGTCAATATGCACTGACGGCGCAGCCGCCCTTACTGGTTCAAAAAAAGGTTTTAAAGCTAAGATTTTAGAAGTGTCTTTAAATATAATGTTTAGCCATTGTATGATTCATTGAGAAGCTTTAGCTTCCAAAAAACTTCAACCAGATGTTAATAAAGTACTTCTTAATGCTATAAGTGTAATAAATTTTATAAAATCAAAGTCATTAAATTCCAGACTTTTTACTATACTTTGCAATGAAATGGGTTCTGACCATGAAAAATTGCTTCTTCATACTNTTATATCGACGATGACAAATTTGAAATGTTTTCATGTTTATCAGAATTCCTAGGTGATAATGATGTGGATATTAATATGATAAAAGAAATTATAACTGCTCATCTAAGAAGTTTACAAACAAACTTTAATGCACGGTTTGAAGATTTCCCAGAAGAAAGTCTAGGTTGGATAAGAAATCCATTTCATTTTAATATCAATGAAATAAAATTAGGAAATTTAAAAATAAGCGAAGAACTAATTGACTTGTCATCAGATGAAAATCTACGTATCAGATTTCAAGAAAATGCATGTGATACATTTTGGATTTCCATCAAATTTGAATATCCGGAATTATCAAAACAAGCCATATCAATTTTACTTCCTTTTGCATCAACTTATTTATGCGAAACAGCATTTTCAACACTAATGATAATTAAAAACAAATATCGCTCCAGATTAAATGTTGAAGCTGATTTAAGAATAGCAGTGTCAAATATCAAACCAAACATAGAATCAATCATGTCTACAATGCAAGCTCAGGTCTCTCATTAAAATAATTAAATAGTAATTTTATAATTTTAAAAATATTAAAATTATGATTATCATTATAATAATACATTTTTTAATTTTAGAATTTATAAAACTTTAATTTTGTGTTTTTTTTTTCATGTTATTGATTAATTAAATTAAAGAAATATTAAAATCGCCTAAAATTAACGATTTAATTTATATGAATAAAATGTTTGTATACATTAAGACTATTAAGAAAATTTATATTATACACTTACATAATATTGGTAGGAAGGGGGGTCGTATTATCAAAATAAATCATTTTAGGGGGTCGTGGATCAAAAAAGGTTGCGCACCACTGGTTTATAGTTGCTTCCAGGTGTACATTAAATTATCTAAAACATTGGATGTATCCGTCTACATTATCCTACGTAGTCTTTTTAAAATTAACTCTTTGCTGTAGTTATTTTTATCGTTTTATAATAATAATTTCCAAAGTACATTATCTCATTATTAGATGTCACTTAATTTTCACGAAAATTGTCTGCAGTCGAAAAATGCAAAATTATAACTATTTTTCACTTGTCTTAGAAATACAGATTATTATTTTACGATTATTATACAATTCTGTTAAATTTACTTTTCCCTTTTTCATTATCTTCTGGCACATCTTTCATCCAACAAATTTGTAAAAATCGGTAGTAGAGCAATCGCTTTAATATTTTAAATTTATAAATTATATAAGACATATCATCATTATATCATAAATTCGAAACCTATTTGAATTTGAATTTAAACTTCTCTTTTTCTAGACTTATAGCACCAGCAAAATTTTACTTTCATCCACATACATAAATAACTTCAAATTTAATTTTTATTTTACATATCTAATGGATGGACATTAAAAGAGGTAATCAATATTGCCCAGATCTAAAAAACTAGACGCAACATTTTATACTAAATGGCAATGTTTTAGAGAACATGTCATTCTTTTTAGGTGTACCTCAGGTGGTCATATTTTATCACTTTTTTTATTTGTCACTCATAATATTGCGTTTGTTTTTACACATGTCCGTAGACAGTTTTAAATTATCAATGATATTTACTTACTGGAAAATTCCGGCACTCATCAACCTAGAGTCTCATTTCCATGTTCACATGGATTAAAAAAAACAATTATAATTACTAACCAGTTTATTTGTATTTCATTTCATAGGGTCATTCAAATATGATACCAATACGAAAGGTAAGTGTTTCATTTTTATTTTTTTCTAAATGGTTGTTGGTAGCCAGCCCCGAGGTTTGACTATAGCGGGCTACTGGCCGATAGGGTAATGACTGGTGGACAGGACGGATATATTAGGTAACCAAAGAAGAAACCTTATGTATATGGATTTTATGTGGTTACTATGTTATGTATTGAAATAATTAAAATATAACTTAAATTACTACGACAATAGAAAGGGGGGAAGGAGTTTGCTTATTACTAAAATACAAGAATTTTCAATACTTATGATTAAGGGGTACAAATTAAATAGGCGGTATGCTGACCGTGAATCTGGTTGATGAATGTTGGTCCGGTAGCGCGGTACGCGGATGACTGCACCCGGCATGGATGACGCGGGCGGCAACGACAAATGCGTGGTAGATACGATTCACGCACGAAGGGCGGCCAAGGGGCACGCGTGCGACACTAAGAGTGTAGTTATATATTTATATATATATATATATGTTACAACGGCGTAAAAGAGAGAACATACTTTACGGCACACGAAGAGAAAAACGAACTGAACTCGCAACAAAGGCCAGGGGGACAGAGCGACGCGATGTCGTCGGTGGACGGACCAGTTTCGCGCCGGCGAAAATGCGTGCACCTCACTAACACACGTTAATGCCGGGAGCGTGCAGCCCATAAACGCGGAGCGCGCGATAAGACGGCCGCCGCGCTGATATGAGATCGAAAGTGACACGGATGATACGAACGCGGATATGTGTACGGCTGCAACAATGGTATTTGTCAATATTTACTTAGAAAACGTCAAAACATTACATTTTAATGTAGTTCCTCTATTTGCTCTAGGGTCAGAATATTTTTTTTTTAATCTGAGTGAAGAGTAAAATTAATGATTCTATTATGATACGTGTTTTTTTTTTGTCTATTAAAAACATTCGGACCAGAAATCTTCCTCCAATTAATAATTTTCAAGGATCTATTTTATTTTGTATCTAGTTGGTACGTTGAAATAAATAGGTCATAATATTGTCGAATTACTATCTTCGTTGGGTAAATATATTAATCTATTTATATTAAACAATATTATTTTATAAATGAAGTATCAAATGTAGCACATTTTTTGAAAGGAAATTTCCTTGAGATGGTTTTTCAAACAGCTAATTATTTGATTATCTACTGGGATAATCTCAGTTTTCCCAATAAGTGGGAATAACCGGGAACAATTTAGGAAAAACGATAAAATTTAAGAAAATAATGCTTTTATTATTTTCAATTTTGTTTTTCATTGTGTTGTAATTCATTTTAAAATATTTTTAGAAACTCGAAATTTGTACAGAAAACTCATATTTTATTTTTTAAACATTGTAAAACTTTAAAAACATTTGAGCTATTTTTGTGCTAATTATAGAGATTTTAATTTTGTGAGCTTACACAAAATTTTGATTTGGTAATTACTCTGTGATATAATTATTATTAAATAAAAATACTTGAAAATTGAACAGGAGGTTCTTTAAAAGTCGAATTTTGTAACAAAAAAATATTGAACTTAATGTATACTATAATATTTTTTTTTTATGAAGGAATTTTAATATTATATTTTGACGAAAGTCGTTTGAGTTAAAAATTATATGGAACCTGACTTTACCATCGTTCTTAAATCGGCAATGTATATATATATTTAAGAACGATGGTAAAGTCAGAATCGAGCGGATTGGCTTAGTTTAGAAATTACAGCCTTTTGAAGTTCTGGTAATGTGCGGATATTATATAATGACAATTTTATAGTATGACAGTTGTAATACAGTGGTACGTAGATATTGTCAACCCAATGGTTGTGCGTTCAAACCCATGTTTTGAAAATGTTTTTTTGCTAAACCACGTCGGGTAGGTAGCAGGGGTAAAAAAATGTAATAAATGCAACATGCAGAATGTGTTTACTACGTTAGTCGTCGTATTCAAAATATATTTATTTTAAATCAAATTAGACGAAGCTATTTATTTATTTATTTATTAAATTATATACATATATATTGTTGAAATTGCAATATTATTAACCAAGCTTCTCTCAGAACCGTTTTTCGTTAGCAATGGGTAATCGTTGCGAGAAGATATTAAATTTCCCTTTTACCTTCCTAATTTATCACCTACAACAGTGGTCTAGCATCGTGCGAAGTATGCCTGTTCTCTTTTTCTTAGTATTATATATTATCTGTTCAAACTCTTGTCCTTTTGTGCAAATATCTAAAAATTATTTCGAAAAAATTGTAAATTCAAAAGGATCTCAAACAATAATAAGTTATGCTTTTGTAAAAAAAAATCTCATTAAATATATGTTATAACTACTTTACAGAATTCAAATGAAATGTGTATATCACTACTTTGTTTGAATTCTGTATTTCAAGTTACAGTTAGTGCATGTACAGTTTTTAATTATATGTTGAAACAATTTTAAACATTGACTTAGAATTGTAAAATTGTATTATTACGTAACTACTGAATTTTGGCATTGCGCCATCGTCAGATTACTGATATACATGAATATTTGAAACAAAAACATACCGTCAATTTGAATAAAATTAACGAATATTAAATAATAATATTATACATGTAGGTATGCATAATTTGAAATTAAAACGGTGGTAATAGAGATAAACAGAAAATAATAATACAGAACGAATACTGTTATTTTTTTTAATACCATCTTTAAGTTTATGTAAAAAAGTAAACAGAAAGTAAGTTTAGATTATGAGCAGAACGAGGAATACATTGGTTTTACAATGTTGTTTATTTTTTTTATTGATTTATTATTTTCATCCGTGAACAGCTCTTCTATCTACCAGCAATTTCGCTCCGTTTTCCAGTTATAGCAATTTTTCTGACAAGAAATCTGGCTAGGGTGGTACCTAGGTGGTTTTTTTGATTTCCCTAGCTATTTTCATAAGAAATGGGAAAACCGGAAAAATAGATACACTATTAAACAAATTGTATTAAAGAAAATATGTAATGCTGAATGTACATGTAATTATTTTATCATAATATGATATATAATCTTTATATGTATATTGTTGACAAAGCAACACTATTAACTGAACCCCGCTCAGAATTGTGTTTGGTTAAAAATTGTTAATAGTTGCTTACAGATATACATTATATTTCCCCTCAAACTTTCTAACTTTTTAAAATCAGTTTGTACAATATGTAATATTATATTATTAAAACTATTGGTTTCACTTTATATTTTATATGATCTCGAATTTATAATAAACATATAATACTTAATGAGTATTTTTACAGACATTTTTATTGATGTATTTTTTTTTGAGATGTATTAATGTAATTATTAAAGTCATTTTCGTTTTAGGATTTGAATTTATCTATAATAATAATTTGAAAACTAGACAATTGTTATTAATATAGCGATTTCGTGTGACACTGAATACAAACTTTGAGCCAGGTTTTGTATGTCGGTGTCTCGCATTGTCATTGATGTTAATAGTATACCTATTACTATTGATATTACTTGTGATGTCATAACTAATAATATTTTACCTATAAATTATTTATTTTAATTATTCAACAATAACTGTATAGCAGTGATGTCCAACGTGGGCAATACCACCCCCTTGTGGGCTTTTTTAATTTTAAAGGGACTTTTTACTTAAGGGAGCGCTAATGGGGGCGATTCTACTGTGACTTTTATTATTCAAATGAAGTTAGAATTTAGTGTATATCTGTGAAGTTAGCGAGTGGATATTGAGCACTCACATAAGGTTGTCTTATGACTTTTTCTAACAATTTATTATTGTATGTCACCCAGTCTTTAAAAATATAATCAACTAGCCGATAACATATTTTCACTGGGTGATATTTATGTCACCTAGTTCATTAGTTTAAAAATGCACTTCGTACGCTATGTGGAAAATTCCATACCTCGTAGATAAATTGAGCACTAATTAAGCACTAGAACTAGAAAGGTACTAGAAAGTAAATTATTGTTCAATGGCCATTCACTAACTTTATGGATCTATTAGTATTATTGTATATTTGTTGTACCTACTTATTATCATAATAAAGATTACGTTATCCTAGAAACTTATCCGAGAACAAAATGCTATGAAAATATTTAATTTTCACCTTATATAATGGCCAATTAAAAACAAAACAAAAATTTTTTTAAATTTATTGTTGTGCGTGGTGGGAAGAGGTGAGCGGTGTGAGTTTATGAAAATCAAATAGGGTTGTTGAGTAAAAAAAGATTGGGTCATCCCGCTGTATAGTACCTAATAAAGATATTTAAATTACTAATATTTTTTTTAATTTTTATTTTCCAGCTCTCATTTGTAGTAAGTACAATGCACATCATACAAATTAAATCACGAGCAGGGTGGATTCACTGACTTTATAATCTTTGCTTATTCGTCTTGATTCATCGTTGAGATACATAGTAAATAATACTATGGGAATTTTTTTCAAGTATTACCCACGACAGTAAGGGTTCTGTTTAACACATTACTTCATTCACTACAGCTATTGTTTATTAAATAACTTATGAATTAGTCTATATCGTATGTACAGTTGATGCCTTCCCCTTCAGTTATGGTTAATATAATCTTAATTTATACAAATTAACCTTAGGATGATGTGGGACTGTCGTTCATCAAAATTTCTTGACAAGTTTAGCCTAGGTGAGGGCCCTTCTTTTTTGTGAGGGTATGTATTTTGCGACACATCTAAAAATAATTTTGATAATTAGCGCCACTTTTTATCGTTGTAGATTGTGCTTATATAAAACAGAACTAAAGGGAATTTTATAATCTGTGCAATGTTGTACCTACACAAATTTTAATTTGTGTCTTTGTTCACTTTATTAAGATTGTAGTTTACACTACTTAAATACTAATAAACAATTTTTTTTCAACAGATTGACATATTGTATTTTAGATTCAGATTAGAGTGAAGACGCTTATGATTTTACAAAAAATGTTTATTTTTTTTTTTTCATCTGTGCGCAACTTTTCTACTGGAATACTTAAAATGCATGTTATATTTATATATGCTGTTGCAAATTACAAGTAATAAAATTAGCGCAAAATACCTTCTCCTCTTTTCTTGACTGATTTATGATACTATTTTTTGCTAAGATTATTAAAATGTATAATAATTGTTAAATATCTTTTGAATTCCACATTTAAATTTTACTAAAGATTCTTGTTTTGTATCAATACAGCGGAGTATACAGTTGATGGTAAGTATGTTTTTGTAGTTTTGAACAAAGATAATTAATCAATGTTGTTAGTGTATGGGAATAACTGCAAAATAGTTATTATAAATTAAAGTTATTATAAATATATAACAAACAGATTACTTTATGGTTACAAACAGATTTAAGAATTAAGTCAGAGAATGTAGTAGTTACCCAGGAGTGGATGAAAATAACGACCACAATCTAATCAGGATGAAATGTAATCTAAAATTAAATGGGTAAATAGAAAATGGTGGAATGGTAAATTAAAAATCTGAGAAATTAAGAATAAAAGAAAAAATATAGCAAAGGCACAAATGACGTGACTATTTAATAATCCCAAAATATTAAAAAATATTGCAGAACTTGAAAGATACAATTATAAACATTAAACATGGCACCAAAAACTTTATGTGATAAAAACATTACAGCAAGAAAGCACTGGATAACAACTGAAATCATTTACATGATAGAGAATAGAAAAGTACTAGTAATATGCCGGTTCTGGTGCAGTATCTTATTTCTCACTTTAAAACTAATTCCTGAACTATATTCACATTGTTTTATTTCCTGTCCAATGTTTACATGCATAAAATAAAAATAATATTTGAAAAAAAATAATTAAAAAATAATATTTAAAAAGATAATTTAAAAATAATATTTAAAAAATAAATTAAAAAAAATAAAATAAAAACAAATGTTACATAAACATTGCACTTGGAACAGTTCTCTTTAACAAAAATAATAATATATTATATTACGCATGGCGCGTGAAATAGATTATTTCTCAAAAATAATTTATATTAAAATTATCATTATTTTTTATTATTTGTTTTTATTGAATTATCAAGGTATTCTCTGAAATGTTCTCTTTCTATTTTTGTTGAATAATGTTCCCAAGCTATAGTATTTATACCATTTTCTAGAATATGTCTTTTATCATCGTATGCACTAAGAGCTTTTTTTTTTTTATTTAATGGTATATATTTTATGTTTATCTGTTCTTAAAGTGTTCTGTTTTACATATTAAAACATAATTCATTATATATATATATATATTCACTATGTGTTTTTGAACACCTTTTACTCATTTTTATTTTCAAATACTTTAAATGTATATGATTTAGACCTTAACTCAACAAATTCAGTCATTATATGACCATTAAGATCATCTTTAAATTTACTTGGAACTTTTTTATTTATTTGGGGTATTCCATATTTTTTATTCTCAAAATAATCAATCAAAAATTGTGAAGCTCTTCAGGATATTTCAAATCTACTTCGAAAATATAGCTTTTTTCTCAGTCACCTTTCATTCTTAAAATTTTTTCTGTATTCAACAAATCAGGATTATGCCATTTAAATCATTTATATGGTAAATATTTACACATCGCCCATTCATTGAGATTATTTGCAACCAAATCTAAGAGATATTTTGTTGATGTTTTTTCTTTTCTTTTTTCCCCAATATATTTATTACTAGCTTTAGAATATCTAATACTACATTGAGATAATCCTGCTCTTATTCCTTATTCAAACATTAAATACAAATCAATATCTCTTATTAGTTCTAATTCTACACCTGTTTTTCTAAGCATAGCATTCCAAGCAAAACCTGGAGTTGTATAATAATGAACAGGATCCAACTTAAAATGTCTTATTGAAACATCTCTATAATTTTCCATTACATCTGTAAGTAATAATACATCTATTTTATTATAAAGTATGGTTAGGTCTCTCATATTTTTTATTTCGAATGTTTCCCATATTTTTTTAGCATTTTCATATGCATTTTGTGTTACATGTTCACCTGTAAGAGAGCTGTAAAATTTATGTATAGAAGGTAAATTTTCCTTTTACTAAATCCAATTGCTCAGGGTAATGTTTAGATAATTCTTTAAACTGATTTGATTTTAAATTATTAGCTAATTTTTCTAAAGAATTAGATAAGAACTTGAAAGAATCAAGAAATCTTATTTCAACTGTTTTAAAAATAGGTTTTCCTTTCTGATCTAAAACAGGGTCTTTAGTAATTGGATCTATATGTATATATTATATATTTTTTGAAAATGATGTATAATTTTCTTCACTACTTGCAATTGTTTTTATATTATCTTTATCAATACCTAATTATTTTATGAATAAATGTGTGTCATAACCAGATAGACTGTGGAAAAATACTGGAATAAATCTAGGAACCTTATAATTTAAATTACATATAGAATGAGCAGCTCCTCGATATTTTCCTGTTAAGTGATCATGATCTTTAACTTTTTCCATAAGTTCTTGAAGATCTTTAATTTCATTTAGTATTTTTTGTTTCTTCACTAGTATTGGTGGTAAATCCATCAAAGATTTTTCACATATATGACAGTTATTTTCTTTTTCAAATTCAGTTTCTCGTTCTTTGGTTATTATCATAGGTTTTTTTACATCTAAATAATTGTTTGCAATATAAAGAGCTTCATCTTTTATTTTCTCATAAAAAAACTTTTGCTGCATATTCACCTGAATATGTTACTAGATTACTTTTACTAGTATTACTATAATTAACATTCTAACAAAAACTAATAGGTAAATAGTTTTGATATGTTTTTGTATAGGAAGCTGTATCAGAAGGTTGACATGTACTAATTTTGAGTAGCATACTTTCGAAATCAGTATAAATGGCAAAAGGAGCTTTATAACATTGATTGTATTATTCAAAGTGAAGAATACAATTAGATATGCTCGGTAATATTGCTTTAGCACATTTATTATTTCTGCAATATTTCTCATGGTGTGTTAGACTTTCCTCAGTATGAAAATGAGATAAACACATGTTGCATAAATGTGTTGTATGGACATGTTTTATTTTTTGTGAACCAACTAATCTCTTTAATTTTCTAATCAAACAATAATGTTCATTATTTTCTTCTCTAAGATAAAATAAGTTAATATGTGTTTCTTTATGAATATCACATATTTGTAGTGATATTATACTGTATTGTCTTCATAAATAAACACATTAATGGACATATTTGTTTTTTTTCTCAAATTTAGGAATATCTTTTAATTTAACTGAAAATTTAATTTTTAAACTTAAAAACTTCATCAAATTCATTTTCCCATTCTTTATATTTGCTAATTCTATTTGCATCTTTTATCACTGGATGTAAAGCAGCAAGAATTGACTAAAAAAAACATTTGTTATCTTTGTTTTTAATGTTGATAATAGCATTTTTTATCAAATATCATTTTTGATAATTCAATATATGATGCCCCTCTTAGTGGATTATATTTATACATGTTTATGTTCATATTTGTAACATGGTTAAATATCCAACCAGAACTCAAAGCTATAAAATCATCTTCTCGAGATTGAATTATTTTATTCACATTGTTAAAAAATTCATTAAAATTACTAGAATGAAAGAAATGTTCACTTTTTGATCTAAAGCCTGTATATATTTCCTCGTTTGATGGATTTTTCTTAATATATTTACAATTGATTATAATAGATATTTTAAAATTACCTTTCTATTTTAAATATTCTAATATTATTTTCTTAACAAACTTTTTTGAATAATTCAAAAATTGATTGATATCTTTAAATTATCGTGTATTTTCAACAATCAATGATAATATTCTCCCTTTAAAAGCAGACCGATTATCAGTAGTAATATCAACAATCTTTAAAGCAGGTCTTTCTCTCTGAAATAAGCTATCATCCAATTTTGAGAATATTATGTGTGTTGGAATCTTATCTTCAAAATATATTCCGCTATGATTATTTTTGTTAGTTGGTCTTTTCTCAATAATATCTTTAGAAAATTTGCAGAAAACTCTGTGAGGTTTTATTGTTCTCTCTTTTTAAGTGTTGGGATATTATTTTTAATTCTCAGTGTAGTTTTTTTATGAAATCTAGGTTTAATAGTTTCATTCGGATCATTTCTTTTATGTTTTTTTGATTGTAAATGTCTAGACCAATTTGAATATGTAATTGAAATTTTGCACATAATAGACGTATTTTTTAAAGCTGTTCTAACATTATTATCTTCTTCCATTTTATTATAGGTTATATTTTTTTAACTAAGATTCAATTTATTTTTTCAAATTCATTTTAAATAAGACAATCTCGTTTAAAATGTACAATTTAATTATTGTTAGGTGTTAAATAATATTTAAAATGAGATTTAACTCTTAAATATGAAATACCTTCAGGTTTAAATAAAAATGTACAAATCTTAATTTGTACATTTTTTTTTTTGAATTTTAACATTTTATTACAATTCCTTTTTCTCTCACATCAACATTTTGTTTTCTGTAGTTCTTCACTATAGAAACTTTCATCAATAGTTTCATTATTTATGTCTTTAATTTTATAAGTAATTGGATTTGTGCTCATTATCTCTGTAACAATACAAATTTCTTGTGTCCAATTAGAGTTATATTTGTTATCAAATGTATTTTCAATTTTTTTATTTGAACTTTATCATTAATCTTACAATTTTATATTGTATCATATACAATTTGGTGCTATAGAATAATGTTAAGGTTGAGTTTGATGGACTACTGAAGGAATACTAAAAAAAATATCAGAGAGAAAATTACTACGAAGAAATATAATTAGAACACGAAACGAATAGATAGATCATATAATATGACGCAAAAGTTTGTTAAAACTGATTATAGAAGGAAGTCTAAAGGGGATGAACCATGGGGGTAGGTCGAGATTAAAGTATATTCAACAAATAATAAAAGACCAAGGATGCAACTCATAATTAGGCATGAAAAGAAAAGCGGATAATAGAGAAGAAAGGATGATGGCTGCAAACAAATCTACCGAATATTGAAACCATAGTGAGAGAGATGATTTTTAGAGTATTGAAAAATATTATAATAATTTTTTTTTAACACAGATACGTATTTACTATATTATTTCACAAAATAACTTATTTTTCATGATAAATTGAAATGTTTTTGTTGTATTAAGTGNTAAAACATAATATAACTTTATATGATTAACAAGGTTTTTAAATTTTTTTTAGATCTTAATAGTAAGTATAAGTTCTTTTACTTGATATTATTACAGCAACTACAAATAGCATATATTGGCTACCTATAACTTTCTTTAGTATTGTTTGACGTTATTTGATACCTACACCTTGTAGGTATTAATAATATATGATATATATCATTATTATTATTATTTTATTATTATACTACTACTAGTTTTGTAGTCTTGTAAGGCCGGCAAAATTTACATATTATAATATTTCATTCTAAATTATAGCTTTTATTCTAATTCGACAATTTTCGAAATTAATGCTTATATTACATTCAATTTTGTTATTTTGTCATTCAGTTAAGAATATTCAAAAAGACTTGAAATTTGGTCAGAAAACCTATATTTTCCTATTGACGTGGTCAAATTTTTGAACGATTTATACATTTTAATTTTTCCAGTTTTGTACATAATTTGTATTCAGTAGATACTCTGTGGATAAAATTGTTGGACCGAACAGAAATACTTGAGAATTTAACATGAGATTCGTTGAAAGTCGTATTTTGTGGAAAAAAAAAATTTGATCAGAAGCTCACTGGCCTATCACTTCTATATATTCATCGATATGAAAAAATATATGTATATATATATATAGAGAATATTGTTGAACAAACCGCTTGCTAAACGATGATTAAAATAAAAGTATTATAATTATTATTATTGTTATTCGTATAATTATAATTTTAATTATTATTTAATTAATAAGAAAAAAATTAATTTAACTTTTTTATAGTACTATTTTACTGCATATGTACATTATATCTGCAGTCTTTCTACAGTGGATACTGTATCAAAACAAGGCTTCGTTCCTGATCCTGGAGTAGAACCGGCTATTTTATACTACTAATAAAAGAAAAATTAAAAATGTACATTATCTGCAAACATTTTTTGTGAAACCATTTGAACTTCTTAAATTTAATGCTGAGGTTATCATTATCTGTTTATAAGTGTTCCTGAAATTTTTTTTATAAATTGAGAAATAACCTGATTGTAAATGGTATTTATACATTTTTAGTAGTGAAATGTTTGCCCAATTTTGATTTTTAAATAGCAACATGTATAAATATGAAGTTTCAGTTTAAGTACATTGTAGTGTTGACATTTTTAATTTTCATCGACCCGTTAACGAGAGTTATATATTATTACTACAAAATTATTGCTGTGGAGTATTTCTAGACATAGCTCAAGCTTTTGATAAAGTTTGGCATAAAGCACTACTCATAAAATATCGTGAACAGCTGCCACACATTTGGTGTGCGCTATTAGAATCTTATCTGACGGACCGGAAATTTCGAGTCAACCACAAGGTACCCCTTTTACAATTGCAAACGTTGTTGTTTACGTGTTCAGAATGTGTCGGTGACTCGTTGACGGGCCAGTCTTTATCTCAATGCATTAGCTCGACGGCGTTCATTGCGTTGCTCTAGACTTTCATTAGTTCGTGTGATTGCAGCCTGGTTTCTTAAATTTCCATTGTCCGTCAATTGATCTTCTGTCGATCTATTTAACTGACGGTTCAGGACTAGTTGTAATTCCGAGTCCGTCGTCCAATATTTCCTCTTCGTCCACGAAGACGTGGCATTGTTTTAAGTACGTAACTTTTTAGAAAAATTGATGTTATTTCAAAATAAAGAATAATGAAATTATTATATTATTTTTCTTTCATTTCATACTTTGTTTAATATACTAATCACTTGAANGATGTTATTTCAAAATAAAGAATAATGAAATTATTATATTATTTGTCTTTCATTTCATACTTTGTTTAATATACTAATCACTTGAAATATCATATAGGACAATGTCTGTCGGGTCCACTTTTATACATATATATTTTCAATTCGATGGATATTTAAAAGTGATAAGCCAGTGAGCCTTAGTAGTATGACGAAACACGCAAGCTCAAAAATAATAAAACTTTCATAGATTTTTGTTTCAACTTTTGCTGGAGAAACCAAATAAGTAGAAAAATGAGTGACGTGTATGGCGCCTTTATGTCTCCCGAGGTCTTTCATTTTAACGACTCCCACTTGTTTGCTACAGTAGTTTAAAGTAGGGCATTTCTAAGTGGGTGAGGGGTGTAAATATTATTGAGAATTAACAATGTCAATTTTATTATTGTGATAGAACTAATTATATTATTGAAACGTTTGATAGTTTATTAAAAATATTAAATGTGTTATATATTTATATTATGTATAGATATTATGCATTATAATATTTATTAAACAAAACTATAATATTTTTTTTTTTCATATTTAGTCCATGTGCGATTTTTACAAATTTTACTTCTTATTTCTTCTCATCTGTAATTTTAACGCTTTGTACCATTCATATACATAGAATAATATTATAAGAAACAATACATTTTTTTTCCCCAGCAAGGACAAAACTTTATATCAAAAGTTTGTTTTTGGCGAAACCAGAGGGTATGTATTAAAAAATTTAAATTTAACAAAAGTGTAAACTAAAAATAAAAAGTTGCGAATTTCGAAGTACATTATTTGTTTGTATATTTATTTAAAAAAAAAAAAAATATCTATTTTCAAAATCTTAAGTAAAAATATATCAGTAATGGGTATAGAGTGAACTAAAAATATATTTTTGCAATAGAAGAACAAATATTCAAACTACTAGAAGGAAAACTGATTGAAGAATCCTACAGTCCATTTGCTGCACCGGTTACACATTAGCACATTATCTACAAATTAGCATTAAGAAAGAAGAGAATAGAAGATCTAGTCTACTAGTCTAGTATATACTTTACAGATTCAAACAAAATAGTATTACCACAAGCACAACCGTTTTCACTTTTTAATGACCTAGTAATAAAGACAAGGAATTGCAATTTTTTTCAACATTAGATATTAACTCTGATTTCTGGTAAATTTCTTTACGAATCGAAGAAAGGAAATGACTGCTTTTGTAACACATGAGGAACACTTTAAATGAAAATGCTTTCCTTTTGGTGTCAAAACCTCACCTGCATTTTTCTGGAGAATGCTGAGTAACATGTTGATGAATTATAAAATCACAAACTTTGCTGTTAATTATATGGATGAAATTCTTATATTTTCTAAATATTTTTATGAGCACATTAATCATTAGACATAAGATACTGACAATACTGGATCATAGTAAAATCATTTACTGTACATTCCGATCATAAACCATTAGAGAATATGAATATGAAATCTAGGATTGACCAATAAAAATATAAGAAAAATATTTTGATAAAGAAAGGAAATGTACACTACAGGAAGGTTATGGGAAAAGAAAGAATTATATTGCCAAAGGGGTTTAGTGTTAACTCATAAAAAATATTCATGAAAATTTGTGCCATATTAGTATTAAACAAACGCAAAAGAAAATTAGTCCACTATGTATGGCAAAAAATTGAATAAAAAATATAGAATAAATTGGTAAATGCTATGAGATATTCATAAAAAATAAATCAAGAGCAAAGGGCGAATTTGGTTTAATGTTTCACTTGGGTCCAGCCACTCTTTGAAAAGTTTCTTCTAATTTCATTAAAATTACCAATTGAAAAAAAATAACTCATAGTTTAGGATTCTAAAACAAACATTCAACCATCAACCAAGTTCATCGAAACAAAAACCTGATTAGCAGAGCACTCGAAGAAAAAAATTATGTCTACGGAGTATTTCCAGATGTGTACAAAGCTTTTGATAAAGTTTTCCATAACGAACTACTCATGAAACTACAAGAACAATGGCCACCTGGTGCTCAATTTTTAATTCTTACTTAACTGAATGACAGTTTTGAGTCATGCATGAAGAAACGATAACAAATTGGAGTGATATATCAGCTGGAGTACCACAAGGTCTAATAATATAGGTCCTAGGACCTATATTATTTCTGCTCTACATAGTCGATATCCTTACCAACAACAACTTAATGGCTACTATGTTTGCTGATGATACGGAAATTTTAACAACCATTAAGAATCAAAAGACTGCGGCTAAAAACTTATAAACTTCAATCGACAACAATTTCAATTTGACAAGACGTTAGAAAATTCAAATCATTATGATTAGTCAATGCACGTAAATTTTACTTTTCACAAAACTGAGAATATCCAAGTGCCACTGGATCACCAAATGATCCCACAAAAAGATCTAGCTCAATACTTGAGTATGCACATTGTCTTCCACTTGAATTGGAAGCATCATGTCCGCCAAAAAAAATTACAAATCAAGGAAAAATGGATAAATTATCCTGGCTAGTTGGAGGACTTTTAAAACCAGATCTTGTAAACAAACGTCTATTGTACTTAATGATAGCTAAACATTTATGTAATTACGAAATACATCTGTAGTATTTTGCCAACAAGTCCAACATTGAAATTATTCAACGCTGCCGAAAAATCGCTTCCCGTATCATCGTCGCTGCTCACCGGTGTGCCAGAAACGACACTATCCACCGTGATATGATGATCACCTCAGTCCGGAACGAGATTACCAAGTTTGTCTGTAAACATGAGATAAAGCTGGATCACCACATCAACCCAGCAGCAATTCAACTACTTGATAATTCATAAGACATTTGGCGTTTCAAACGCCAAAGACCATACGATTTAGTATAGGATTCTTAGACTATGGTCGGGGCTATTCCATTGCGAGTGAAAATCTCCCCCCTTTTTTTTTTCTTCGTACATCAATGAATTAGTATTCTAGCACACCTTTATAATGTATTTCTGAAGATATTTGATCGTTGTAATAAAAGCTTTCGGGTAATTTAATAAAAAAAAAAAAAACATGTACACTTGGATCTTACCTAATATATGGTTAACAGAGGATTTATTTGATCATAAAATAGGCTTAGTTGGTTATGAATTGTTTCGCTTTGATCGGTATGAAAATAAAACTCCTTACCGTAGAAGTGGTCGTATTCTAATCATTTTCTGAAAAATTATTAGGACTCTGAAATACCTATACAAAAATATAACATACAATTTAATGGATACATATTAATATGTACAATAGTCCACATGAATTAAATTGCGAAGCTAACGTTTATCAATGTTTTTTCTTTCAGATATAGTCACTAAAACCGCCGAAGAATTTTGTAATCGTAAAAGTGTGTAAATTAGTACAGTTTAACTTGTAGGCTTTAAAAAAGCTATATTTTCAAGCTTTTAGGGCACTTTAAATATCAATTAATTGATTATTGTTTTTACGTTGAGTAATTATTAATTTATTGTATCTACGTATTTTAATTATATTCCATATAAAATCCATTAAAAATATCGTCAGTTAACTGCAGATGAAAAAAAAAAAACGAAAATCCTTTGCATATTGGGTGGGCCACTTTTGTAGGTGAGAAGTTGATTACGTTATTTTAATTTTGTTAAGCTACAATAGCCAACACTAACCTTCAGGATAGCGAAAATATGATTTTATCATATTTCAAACATCTAGCTATTGTAGGTTAGATTTGGTTAGTTGAGTTTTAAGAAAAGTTTAAAATTTTTATTCATATATAGAAATTAGTAATCTGCAATATTAAAAGATCCCATGCCTTAGCGACATAGTGTAATAATTTTAACTTTAAATTTAAAACACCGTCTGAAATTATATTTTTCATTTTGTTATAATTTTTAACTACAATTAAATGTTTACAACCACCTTAGAACGACACAAAATCAAGATATTTTAATTGTGATACCAGGCTTACGTAGAGTTGCTAGGTTTTTTAGTTCTTATATAATTCTTCTATTAATTTAAATTTTGTAGTTCTAATGTAATTTGGATAAAAAAATACGTAGAGACCTGTAATTTAGACAGACAGCTAATTTGTAGATTTTCTATACGTTCAAAAGATTAGTTGTTTCAATTGATTCATTTTAAGTACAGCGCTATGTTAAATATTTATCATAAATAATAAAACAATAAAGTTAAAAAAGAATTATTAAATGGTTAACACAACTCGTAAAGAAATATATAAATAAATAAATGTGTCGCTTGGATTTTTATGAAATGTGTATTGTACATCGGATTTTGAATTAAAAATTCATCGTCAGGTAAAATCACAGTCAATAAGTAAATTGCGACTGAATATGATAAAATATATGATTAAATACATAGAGGAAAAATTATAAAAGTTGGCCGTTTCTCTTTCGCAAGCCTTTTCCCGGGCATGCGTCGCCCGATCCGCTCTCGACTTCCTAGACGTGTATTTACAGACCGTAACTGAATTCGGCTAACAGCACCTCAATGCGCGTGCACGTAGCTTTACTATCCATTAGATGCGTTATCATAATTTACAAAGTAGTTGAAATGTTGAGGTCTAACATGATTACTGCAGTAGTAATAATTATAATACAGCCAATAAATACAAATATGTATATCAAAAGAAGGTAAGATAATGGGGACAGATGCAGCTATTGGTGTAGATGGGAAGTTGGTAAGGTAGGATATAGACGAAAATTTAGTGTATATTTGTAAGCAACGATAACCCATTGCTTACGAAAAAAAGATTCTGAGCGGAGTTTAGTTGATAGTGTTACTTTGTCAACGAAATTTATGTCATTTTACAGTAACATAATTAAATATGCTTTATATATTTTCTTTAATAAAATTTGTTTAATGTTCTACCAATTTTCAAAGTGTTCTTATGTTTTATCACGTAATTTTACATATACTTGTAAAACTATTGGATATATCAAAAATTTACCACCCTAAAATACCTCCCCACACCCATTTCCTTTCAGAAAAGGTGTTACCCTTAGAAATCTGAATAGTTTTCTAGTGGAAAAGGTGTGCACACGAAAAAAGAAGGCCGTAATACATTTTAACTAATATCAATATGTTTTATATTTTCCGGTTTTCTCGGTTTTTCATATTTGTCGTTTAACTTCGGGGAAAATGGAAACAAAACCTCTTTCAAGTTCCTGGTGAAATTTCCTTTCAGAAACATTGTTTTCATTAAACGTTGGAGCAAAATTGCTGGTAGAAAAGTTGTACAAAGAAAAAAGAAGCTGGTAACATATTTCAACTCATTTCAATACACTTCTTATGTTTGTGTTTTGACATATGTTTTTTCTAGTAAATTGTTTCCGATTTTTAAGTGTTACTATTTATCTGAAAACTCAATTTATCTAAATATTACTTTAAACAGGTCATTTTTCGATTTCATAGATTTTCGATACAATACATTAAATAAAAGCACTTAATTGTAAGAAACGTAGGAAAACATTCAATTTCACCATTTCATTATTTTATAAAAATACGGACGACGTTTTCTACAAAAGAAAATGATTTAATCGAAAAATCACCAAATACATTTTTTAACGCCTTTTTGATTTACTTCAGTGAAGTTTTATTGCGAAAATGTTTAAATCCATTTTGAGCTTTAGGGACATTTTAATTTTTTGGATTTTTTTTTCTGCTATTCAGTTATCAATACACGAAGAGACTTGAAACTTGATAAAAGACTAGTATTGGACTTTCCTCGACGTGGTAAAATTTCCGAAATCATCGAATGATTTTTATTTTTAAGCGCATTGAAAACAAATTTAAACGGAAATTGCAAAAAGAATAATAATACGGCAATTCTTATTATGTATTACCGAAATTCAGAATCATCATTCGTCAAGCAATAGTTTATCGTTGCTTACAGATATAAATGAAATAACATTATATGTCCAATCTTCCAAAATTCTCACCTACAACAGTGGCCGCTCCCATCCCTACTATCAGGAATTTTTTTTTCTGTGCACAACTTTTCTACCAGAAGTTTTGCTCTAAATTTATGATAGCAATGTTTTTAAAAAGAAATTTCACTAGCGAGGTACTTTAAGAAGGTCATTTTTCGATTTTCGCATGAGTTTTCTCATCAAATTTGAAAAACCGGGATAAAACATAGTAAAACCGAGAAAATTGAAAAATTGGTACAACATTAAACGTATGTTATTATAGCAAATATATAATGCATATTTAATTATTTTACTACAAAATGACATATATATATAGTTGACAAAGCATCACTATCACTCCTTTGTGTTTATAACGACCACGAGAATCAAGGTGTTGTCAGCAAACCCGAGTAGCTGGTTCCTATATGGAAGCTCTTCGATCAAGACTTGATTATATGTAGTTATATACTATTTGCCTACAACGGACCCCTGGGGTGCCCCTCTTATGATAGGTAAATTAATTGCCCCTATTGGAAAAAGGAGCGAGACAACAGTACCTGCTCGCTCAGAAAAATACGACGCGAACATAACGCATAGGTATTTTAGCACTCACCATTCCTCTAACGCTGCAAAAGGTAAAAATTGGCTTTGTTAAATTCGGCAAGCACCGCGCTGTCCAACGTCATTATGGCTTCGTCCGTTGATTTGCCTCTTGGTTAGGCACCAGACTTCCTTTCTGTTCAATAACTGCTTATCATGTTATGTTCTACCCTGTGAACCATCCATATGATTTTGCCGGTGATTTCATTTGGACCTGCTATCATGTTCCTGCCTTTTACCCACTTCATGGTTCATTGGATTTCTTCAACGGTAAACAGGCAATGGTCAGCTAAGTCGCATCGTGTATAACCGCGGTTGGTCGTAGGTTGTGCCGGAAAGAGGGTGTCCTTGACAATCCTCAGCATCTGTTGCTCCACAGAGTGTGGCTTCAGGAGTAGAGGTTTTGGAGATTCCAAAATATTCAGTCGTGTTTTAATTTTTGACCTTACAATGAATTATTAATTTAAAATCTGTCGTACTATTGTACATATATCATAATACCCCAAGCAATGCATTTATTTATTTATATATTTTAATTTTATGAACGCTAATGTTTCGTTATTTTAATTATTTAAATTTAAAATATCTAATACAATGAATGACAAACTATTTACAACATACATACTACATACTAGCTTATGTTATTAACATAACATAAATGTATATTACAGTGTCAGGACTATTTGCAAGTAATTCTGATGAAGACTCACCACCAGATGAAGAAGAGGAAGAAGCAGGAGACGGAGAAGTAGAATAGACGGAGTTTATTACGAATTTGAGCTGACAACCAGTAGGCTGACAGAATATACATCATAATTTATATTATCTACATTGTGTTCATTTCTATTGAAACATTTAAAAATAAAAAATGGATTACTAAATTACAATTCATTGTTAATTTTTCTATTAATTTAATAATACTTAATACAATGTTCAGTTGTCTTTGAAATTTTTCTGCCGGCTATTTTTTCATACTCCCAGGAGTCCCAGTTGTACCAATTTCTATGTACTTTATTTTTTACCGTAACATAGCTATTTACAAAAGTATGTTGTTAAATAAAACAGTCCTATTATTAAATAAAATACAACAAAATATACGACGGTGGGTCTAACATTAGTGATTCAATGTAATATTAGAATAGGACGACTATTTATAAAAATAAAATTAAAATAAGGGACACTAAAAATAAACAAATTAAACATAATTTTAGTATAATGTAAGATAAGTATTCCTTACTGTTATTATTATAATTTGCAAAAATAAAATAAATGTGAGCTGTATAATTGTTTTTGAATACCTACAAAATATATGTATACAGAAAATAATTTTCTTCTTATGATAACGATATGATATCAATTTCTTCTTTTGCTTTTTGTTACCTATACAATACCCTTAAAAATATGTATAATGTTCAAGTGTTGATAAATATTAGAATCTATAGATGGCTGATAGCAAAATGTTACATTTTAGATGTATTATTATTTACTTTATTATTAATTAAATATAAAATATTGGTTACTTACTTAATTTAAATTAGGTTTTTATTTTATTGTGTTTACTATTTCTAAATTATAATTATTTAAAAGAACAACTGACCTATTTGGACACAAAGTTTACTTGTCGTTTATATAATTTAATACAGACCTCAAGTTTTAAAATGTCAGCTATTATGATAGGTACTCATAACTAGTAATCATGACTAATTGATTATGATGCAAATTATAAGTACTATATAAATTGATACTATATTTACAAAGAAATAGGAAAAATTATAAATGTTGATAAAATCTAAAATAAATCTAAATTTATTAATTCGGTTCTTGATGAAATGGTAAGCGAAGAAAATTATTCGCATGCATGACATGTTTGAAATAAATTCTATATAAAAACTTTAGGCAAATAAAGCGATTTATATTTATCAACCAATGTTTATCTTCTCACCGACGTATTCGAAAATTTCCGTGATTTTGTTTGAAAATATTTATTTTAGACTTTTCCCATTACATTCAATGCACCTGGCTCAGCTTTTGATTATAAGCCTAAATACATTAAAATCAAGTTAAATAGATTACTTGATTATAACATGTAATAAACGCTTAAGCAAAGTATGATTACTTATTAGGATTTTGTTAATATTTAGTATATATCAATGCCAGAACCGTTACCGCAGTCAAATTTTGAGTGGTATGATGTTTTGACAATAAATATTATGAAAGTTGATGACAATGCCGAGTACGATTAAGTATTAGAAGTCGACACATACCATCCCAAAAACATACATAAATCACATAACGAATTTCCTGTTTTTTCTCATAATACATGTCCAACAAATTCTAAAACCCCGAAACTTTTTACAACGCTGACCTCCAAACAAAATTATATCGTACACTACTATAATTTAAAGCAAGCCATCACTAACGTTATTAATGTAACATAAAATTATTCGCTTAAAGCAGACAAAGTGGACGGCTTCGTATGTTGTTTTATGCACTAGTATGAGGGTTAAGTCCAGAAATAAGTTCAAGTGAATTATTGGAAACTTAATGTTAATAGTGTTTTTGAGAAGTTTACGGAGAACGTAAAAATGCGAATCTCTATGCAGCTTGTTACAACATTTAATTTATATTTTCTTATTTTCATATTGTTTACTTAAATGGTAATTTATGTTTTTTCTAGCTTCAATCGGTGTACATTTAATTGTAGAATGTTTAGTATTATTGTAATTAGTTACAAGTTCGGTTATTGAATTGTACCAATTCCATGTTCCTATCGATGTAAAATGTTTATATATTTTCTTTTTAATTATTTTTATAATACGTTCAACCATACCTGCATTTATATTGCCTTATGTACTGTAATGTTTAATATTAAATTTGTTCATAAGGTCTTGAAACGGTTTATTGTACAACTCAGTTATATTATCTGTTTGTAATAATTTTGGATGATTTGTTTTCAATATCACTAAAAATTTCTTTTGAACCTTCTGTGCTGCTTTTATTTTTTACTGAATGTATCCATACATATTTAGTATACGCATCTATAACAATTAAAATATATTTAAATCCGCTGTTGAATGATATTGCATATCTGTGAGTCAGCCTTAACGTTTCCATGTTATTAAAATATTGTAATTATGTATATTTCTACTACTTAATAAAATTTCTTTCATATAGTTCTTCTCAAATTGATATAATCTTATTAATTACACCTGTATAACCTGTACTTTGTGAAGGTGCTAAAAGATTTAGTCAATAACTAATGCATTAGGATTATCATATACACTAATTGTGTTTTATTCGTTATATCTTTATTATTTAATCGTTTCCCTATATCTTTTGATGTGGAGTCGTATGATTTAATTTGAAGAACAGCGTTACTAAGTTACTAAGTTTTCGTTTTTATGTAAAATGAAGGGAATTTAATAGTTTTTTATATTTTTGTAAAGAGGTTTAACAACAAATTTCTATTTATAATTATTTGCTGATTAGGTTTATTATTTTTTTTTAAGATGAACTTTAGTTTGAGATTATATTCCCAAATATTTTATGTTATCCGACTGTGTTATCTGGATATTTCAATGTGTTTTTCAAAATTTTTCAGTCTTGATTCAAATGTAGTAAACTCTGGATATTTTGGATTCCACACGCCATTTAAGGAATACGCATATGAAACCGTAGTAATTGTCGAGTTAAATTGCGTGCATGGTAAACTATTAAAAAAGGGGAACCAACCCATAAGAAAATGTACCTTAGTAAAAAACTAGTGCCTGAGAATTGAATTTTTCGAGTGTCGACCGAACCAATATAATTGAGAACCGTAATAATATTAATATGCAAAAACCAAATTGCTAAGGGAATGTACCCTATTGTTTGAAAAATTACTTGAGTATAATAAATATACCAATTGAGCTGTTACGCCTAAAACTACTGTCGTAAGGCAAACATATAATTTTCTATAAAAAAACGCACAAAACCAATAAGCAATAGTTAGATAATTTATTCCAAGCTGCATAAAAAATGTAATAACGAAATAATGTAGATAGCTGCGACTATAAACGGGTTTTGGGGGTCCTTCCGAGCATATATAACGCTGCCCGAAACCTCGTCTAATTAGAGGAGTCCACCCTGATCAAATGCGAGCGACTTCGCGTCACTCTGTTTTTGTACTTATATTTGTTGGTGAATTTATTGTACTTAGTATATTTTATGGTGATTATTATTATTAGACTTGTAATATTTTTGTGTAGAAATATTAATTATTTACATAACTCAAGTTGGGGTTTAATTTATTTGAATATTTTTCCTCCAAGTCCCTAGATGGCCCGTGACAAAATCTGGCGCCTTCGATAGGATTTGTACGTTAAATACGTAATCCAAACAATTAGAGAATTTAACGACCCCTGCAGTGGTATCACCCGGGACGTTCTAATAGATAAGCTAAATCAATGTGTTGTTCGGTCAATCTTAGAGTAATATTACACATATTTTTAATATACAAGTGCATTAAATTGAACACATATATACATTATATACAAAAAACAATCGTTTATTCCCTTATGAATTCTATCTATTAAGTCGGTATACCAGGGTTTTTCGATGGGGAGGACAGGAGGAATTCCTCTCTAGAAAGGCAGTACTTAAATTGATGTGCAAATTTACCCTGATCTAGGATTAAAAACAACAAATTCATATTTTTAACTAATATAGAGAGGCATAAGATTTTTATGAAAATATACCAGTGAGGGGGGAAGGGGTAATAAAAAAAGATGTTAAACACTGCGGTAAACCATTATATTGTACTTATAATAATTTATACGATGGACGCTACATTGCTGAAACGAATTAAAACTATTATATTATAAAAGTTATATAATATTGGTGAATAATATGTATCATTATACTACCGTTCATCGTGCACATAATAATATTTGTAAATGCTCCGGGTATGTATGTATTATAAACATTTAATTCAATGCCAAAATATTTCTTCGGAATATGGTTTAAATATTCGTAGGTAGTATATAGTTCGTCTATAACTATTAATCCTTAACGGCGAACAGGCCGTTTGATATTGTCAAATCGTAGAATAGAATATATTATTAATTATTATTATACTATACCAGTTGTTATAATATTATAGACTAGCTACAGTGAAAAAATCTAGTAAATCTTAAAATTGAAAAACAAAAATCAAGGCTTGGAAGTCAACGGATAATAATATAACTTGAGTTGAGTCAGTTAATCGAAAATAAATTAAAAGTTAATTTTTTTAATTATCATCGCGAGTTAAGTTGAAAGTTAATTCGAGAATATTGAATTAATTTTATTTCTGATCTTTGTAAAATTGTTATTATAACTTCATACAACGAAAATGATTAAACACAGAATGAAAACTTAACATGGTATATTCTAAATAAACTCCTTATTTTTTTATGTTAATGTAAAACTTGTAGAATAAATTAATGAAATATCAAAGGCTGAAGGCTAATTCAAAAGTTAAAACCAATTTATCTTCTTAACTCGTCGATGACCGGTTTAATTCAATTACAAATTAAAAGTCAGAATATATAATATTATTCATAAAATTAATCATAATGTATTAATTACTTATATTTTATACGAAAATGTCTTNCATAAATTATGATGACTGTTTTTCCGTGTAAGAAAACTTGCTCAGTTATATTTAAGTGTTGAGAAATTTGGACGGTAAGATGACAAATAACGAAATTCTTACATTTTTATTTAACAATTAAGATT